AAAAAAAAAAAAGACTCAATAGGCAAATGGGAGAAATGAGGAAGAGTTAGGATATGTCTGGGTGTCCAGGACTGATTTACCACTTGTGCTGCTCCAGTGCATATCCTTGAAGAGGTTATGAGGGTTGAAGAGGATGGTAACTTTATGGAGAGATGAAGACCTCATTCAGATGGGAAGTGGAGGTTTACAGGGATATAGGCAGATGCCTGTGTAAAGGTGTCTCCACATTGTCCTGGGATATCACTCACTGGTTGAATGGCCAAGTTGCAAGGCAAGTTTCAAGCCATCTGGCTCCCAAGATGTTTTCAAATTACACATGGGAATAACTCTACAGTGAGTTGTATGGTGGTCCAATTTGGACTATCTGTTTTTATGTCATGAATGACATAGCAAAGTGAACTTCTCTGCTACTCCTTGGCTGGCTCCAGGACTGTTCCAGCACTGAGGAGATTGTTTTGACAATCCACATAAAGGAGGGCCTAAAGATATTTGTTGACTTGGTGTAGGGAGGTGGTTTAAGACAAGCTAGTGGAGCATGCATAGTTGTTGCAATTGTCTAGAGGGCAGGGCAGCTCTGATCTCGCTCTTGTTCCTTGAATAACTTTTCTTGCTGAATGTGTGCATAATGTTGTCCTTCATTAGGCACTGGCCAGCATGAGTCTGAATACTCAGCCCATTCTTAATCTGGAGAAGTTCCACGATGGGCAGGAGGTGCCACTGCTGCTGGGAAGACCACAGAATGATTTGCAGTCTACTCCCTCCACAGAATTCAACCCTCTGATCTATGGAAATGATGTGGACTCTGTGGATGTGGCTACCAGGTGAGGCTGAACAGGAGGGTTAGTGTTGAGTCTTCATAAGGTTTGCACTTGAAGGCAGCACAGATACTTCTTTGGGTCCTGTGGTGGAAGCAGCATCTTCCACACTCTACTGCAGGTTCTACTTTACATCAGAGGGAAAACAAGAGCAGAAATTATGGGGTTTATCTCAGATCTGTTAACTGCATGAACATAACTGTGTATCTTGGGGTGGGGTTTGTGTCTTGCATTTTCCACTTTACCTGGATTTGTCAGTCTGATATTGTATCCTCAGCTTAAATCACAAACCTTGAGTTACAGAAAACACCTGGAGACTTAGTTCTCACCTCAGGTAGCAGATATGAGAACAATGTCCCTCATCGGGTGGGTCTTAGTGTTGGGGTGGTGAATTAAAACAGTGATTTCTTGGTGTTTTTTTTTTTCTTTTTTTAAAGACAACTTTTCTAAGCCACCAGTTTTCAAAGAAGACTTAGTTTTTTGTACTGGGTTATCATTCTTCACAGGTTTGAAACATTGCCGACTGTGTACCATTTAAAGGCTCTCTGTCTTTTTTTTTTTTTCATGGTGTTATGTGTTTTCATCTGATATGTTGCCCTCTGTTTCTTTTTAGGGTTGCTATGGTGAGATTCTTCAACTCACCAAATGTTTTGCAAGGTTTCCAGATGCATACTCGCACTCTTCGTCTCTTCCCACGACCAGTGGTGGCCTTCCAGGCAAATTCTTTTCTTGCCTCTCGGCCGAAGCAAACGCCTTTTGCAGATAAGCTTTCCAGGACACAGGCAGTAGAATACTTCGGAGAATGGTCACTCAACCCTACTAACTATGCTTTCCAAAGAATTCATAACAGTAAGTTTTGGTCTTGCCTTTCCTGCTCTTGGATATAATGCAGGAACTCAAAAAATAGAGGGATTCTAGGGAAGGGCTTAGTTTTACACCGTATTACTCCTGCTGGGACAGGAAATCCAGTTCAAGGAAGATTTTTCTATTTTTCTGTATGTCCTCATGTGTTTCTACCAAGTTAGCCTGCTATTAGCCACTTGCTTCTCCTGGAATTTCACCTCTTGTCTTGTTTGGTTACCAAGAAGTCGTCTTGCAGGCTTCATAGAGTAGAGACTGTCCCTTCCTTTGTGCAAGAGTTAGCAGGGGGGAAGCCTCACTGTGAATGAAGCCTTTGACACCGATAAATGAGTTCAATTAACTGTCTCCTTGTTTTGTTGTGCAGACATGTTTGACCCAGCACTGATTGGTGACAAACCGAAGTGGTATGCTCACCAGCTGCAGCCCATCCACTATCGGGTCTATGACAGTAACTCACAGCTGGCTGAAGCACTGAATGTCCCAGTAGAGAAAGAAACGGACTCCGATCCCACTGATGACAGGTTAGTGGGGAGCATAACCTTAGTCACATGATAGTTACTTCAGAATCCTGGGCCTCTCCTACTTCTCGTTTGCAGTCTTTTCCTCTAGACTGCCAGGTAGCTGTTTCATTTCTTTTGAATGGACAGAATACTGACACTGAATTAAATTGTCTCACTGCTCTGTCATCACAGCAACCTCTTAACCCTTTACTAGTGTCTTCTCAAGCCTTCATTTAATGTGATTCTCCATTTGTATTTCCCTTGTCTTCTTTTGCCACTTGACATTTGGTATTTCCTCCCACCCTGTTGCTTTTTTCTTCCATGCTGTTCATTCTCTGGTTATTTCTGTTGCAGTACTATAAGTACTCCCACCCATCCTACCACTCTTTTAAATATCTACTCATTGCTTATAGTTATGTGAAGCTTGTTAGTACTACCCACTGCCTGAGACTTCCTTGTGTGTTCAGTAAAATGAGAGTAAACTTTTTTGATATAGTAGTTTTGGCCGTGTTTACTGGAGTTTTGTATCTATTTTTATTACCCTTCATTCTCTGCTAGCATGTGAGATCGTTTGGGTTTGGACTTGCACATCTTTCACGTTCTACACAGCACCAGTGGTCCTGACAGAGTGGGATTTATTATTAATATAACAAGGGAATGCTTTTATGCGTGAATTCCAGTTCCCTTGAAGTCGTTCTACACACACATGCTGGGAATTAATCCACTGCTTCCTGCTACTTATGCTTGACCTCACTCACTTTGTTGAGAGCCTTTAAATGTCTTTCTGTATGTCTCTTGATGTACCTCAAAGTTGTTCCATTTGCTCTGACCTTTCTTGAAGCTGGCCTGTGACTTTTGCCAGAAATTTGTTTGTAGAAACTGTTATATCATGAGATTTTTAAGAGACCTATGAAAACAGAGCCGATTCTCACATCTTTGAAACATCAGGCCCTGCTGTTGCTGTTATGCTGCCACTCATCTCTCTCTCTCACCTGTTGTGGTAGTGGCAGTGACAGTGTCGACTATGATGACTCCAGTTCCTCCTACTCCTCCCTCGGTGACTTTGTCAGTGAGATGATGAAATGTGATATTAATGGCGATACCCCAAGTGAGTAACTTTGAGCTGTATTTTCACAAAGTCCACATATGTTCCTCTTCCCCATTCATCTACACTGTGGGAAAAATGCCTCCCCTGAGTCCCTAAATCAGAACAAAGTATTGTTCCATTGTGGTCTTACTCTGTGGTGAAAGTGTCTTCTATATTCCTTCAATATCCAGGGTAGGCTGGAAAAAAGGACATTTCTCCTGCTTATAATCAATGCCCTCCAAAGGACAGTGGGAGGAGGAAGAACAGAAATAGTTGCTGCTGAACAAAACTGGCTCACTAGATCTGGAAACAACCTGCTGCTGCCAGTAGATACTGTGCAATATGGGCAGCAGAGTACGAGCCTTCTCCTGCCCCCGCATACTGGTTCTCAGTGGTGGCTTTAATGAGTCACTGTATCCTGGTGGGGACAAGAAAATGCATTATCTGTGGCTTTTGTGGGGGGTGCAGCAGTGGTGTCTCGTGAGAGTGGGAAACTCTCACTTTCTTCAGTAAACTAAATGTAGGAGTGCAACATATTTCCTATGTCCCGAGGACAAGAGGTGATAATCCTAAATTGCAACAGAAGAAATTCTGCTTGAACATAAGGAAAAGATCTTTATGGGACATCAGGAAAAGATCTTTATGGTTAGTGTAGTTGAACGGGTTCCCAGTATCACAGTAGAATGTCAAGCCTTGGAGACTTTAAGCTCACTGGGACAAGGCCCTGAGCAACCTGCTTTAACTTTGCAGTTACCCCTGCTTTGAGCAGAGTGTTGGAATAGATGACCTCCAAAAGCCCTTTACAACCTAAATTTGCATGCGAGTTTATTTTGCTGAGCAGTGCCCATCTGCTAGGAACGTTTAGCTAGAGGGGCGAAAGGCTGAGGAAGGCAGTGTGTTCTTTAATGCGAAATGATGTATTTGCAGATGTTGACCCCCTGACTCATGCGGCCCTTGGTGATGCTAGTGAAGTGGAATTTGATGATTTTCAAGAATATTCAGGGGATCTGGATGAACAGGCCATGGATAGTGAAAACTCCCAAGAGAACAACCAGCCTCGTTCAAGTTCCAGTACTACAGCCAGTAGCAGCCCCAGCACTGTCATCCATGGAGTGAATCATGTGTGTACTGAGATGAGTTCAGCCCCAAGATCAGCATATTAGGATGGAGAATGGGAGAGTGCACGTGGTTCTTTCTGAGAAGGGCAAAAGCTAATAGGACTGTGAAAACATGCACAGATTAAATTGCATGCTCTTTCTGGACTTTCTGAGGAAGGTGGAGTTTACTGATACCCTCTTATGCTTGGATAGAGCATTCCTGTACATAAATGCTCCCATGCCTTGAAAAATGCAGCATTAACAGAGCAGTGGTCCAGGTTGTGACTGCAGGAATTGCTTTTATAGAGTTTGGAAAGACCCGGTGCGTTAGAGGAACAGGGAGTGGGGTGGGGAAACTCGTGAATCTGTGGTCATTTAGGGAGGATGGGTGTTGCTTGCATAACCACAGAACAAGGTAATGGGGAGTCATTATGCTGATCTAAGTCTTACCAGTAAGATCTGGTTTACAGGGGAATAAGAATGAACAAATACTGCGGTGTTTATATAATATCCTAGATTAGAGCCATGGACAGGGGGCATGGGGTTGGGCCCCAGTAACAGACAACAAGGATCCTGCAGACTTCCCAGTTTGAAATAACTGTTCTTGTCCTGCCCTTCAGTTGTATGTAACGCAAACTAGCGAACAGGTCAGTGATTTGACTGGTCCACAGGAGTCAGCAGATTCAGCAGAAATGGAAGAGAAGTTGGTTGCTGGATTTTCAAACAATCTCCCTTCCTTGCCACTGCAACCAAGCTTTCCCAAGATAAGCTTGGATCGTCGTGAGAGCGACAGTGCAGCTGGCAGCATGAGCTCCTCAGAAGGGGTGGTGAGGAAGCGAGAGTATGACAATCCGTACTTTGAACCGCAGTACGGTTTTCCTACGGAGGATGAAGATGATGAGCAGGAAGAGAGCTACACCCCGAGATTTAACCAGAATCTCAATGGAAGCAGGTGAGTCCTCCTTGTTCCCTGCCCTTCTGTACAGGACTGTTGGGGTTTCCATCTGCTTCACGTAGTTTGACGTTCGTTCATTCAGATGTCTCTTGCGCCTGAATTGTGGTGTTGGTCACTTCCGTTTAACACTGAAATTCTCTAAACCCCTCTGCTCTGAGTAAAGGCACTTGCTCAGTTCCCTCGTTGCTGTTACGTAAGCAGTAGCAGCTAACAGAATTATCAGTTCTTCCTCGAAACATTCTAGTATATCACCTACTGATTTCTGGAAACCTTTGAGTGACTTGGTTTTTTGTGTGAAGCTTTGCCCTCTGGGGGAACGATACTGTAGCGATTGATGGCATGGAGTTTTTTTGTTGTTGCTGTCAAAGCGGGACACTTGCACCCCCAAATCACCCGACGCCCGTTTGCAGACAAGTTTCCAGTGTGTGCTGAAAGGCGTGCCTGAAAGCCTGAATGTAAAGATGCTTCAATTCTCCTGTTTTTTTCTTTTTCTTTTTTTTTTTTTCCTGTCCTTTCCCGACCAGGTAAGGGTAGTGTGGTGAAAACCGATGAGGAATGAGACCAGCATCGATCTCCCACAGTCATACAACATGTTGATTTGTATAATTTCTCTATAGGTCTCAGAAGTTACTCCGTCCAAACAGTTTAAAACTGGCCAATGATTCTGATGCAGACTCAGATTCCAGGGCCAGCTCCCCAAACTCTACTGTCTCCAACAACAGCAGCGAAGGTTTTGGGGGCATCATGTCTTTTGCAAGTATGTACTGATGCTTTTATTAAGCCGGGTTTATTTATTTTATTAGAGTTTACAGAGAGATGGAATAGAGGGTGGCTGGTCAAGAGAGTGACTTGGTTGGCAAATTGTTACCAGCTCTCCAGAAGCCATGCTGGGGGCCACAGGCCTTACTTAGCTTACACTGCTGATAACTACTGCTTTATGTATTTTTCAGTAAGAAGGACTTTGGTGTAGGCTCTTGAGTTATATGGCACTTTAGGGCACAGATGAGAAATTCTTTCATTTTCATTTAAACAAAAAATTGTGTAATTTCATGAAGTTGATACAAAAATCTTACCAGTAGTATGCCTTCCATGCTACCATGTTGTGTGTTCAGGTGCTAAATTCAATTTCTTGACTCTGCCCACCTAATATCAGTTAGATTTCAATAATAAAATCTACAGGTGTGAAAACCTAACCCAGAGTTTTTTAATGAGTGAAAGAAGATGCAGCCAGTTGAGTCTTGCACTGTAGTGAGGAGCAGTGCAAGAAGTGTGCAGCAGTGGAGAAGGTATATTGAATTACTGAATGTTTCTGGTAAAATGATTGTTACTAAAATAAGGCTGCAAGGAAAGAGACAAGGCAAATTGAAATAGGACACTGACATTTTAAATTAACATCTTGAAGTGTTAATCAGCTTCAGCTTGTTGATCTGCATAAGATTCTTTCAGGCTGTCTGCTGGCTTAACCAGATGACAATGCGTTATTGTGTTCTTTAGATCTCTCTGTACTAGGAAGAACTTTTTTCTCCTAATAAATGGAAAGCTTCTATGTTAAAGCATGCCTCTGTGGCAGATTCACAGTGTTTCACAAGGCACAGTGCACAATCCTCACCTCAAAATTATGTATTTTAGAGATCTTGCTCATCCTGTTTTCTTGTGTGTCCCCTACCATTCATTTGCTCCTAAAAAGAGGACCAGAGTAGTAGACACAGCTGACATGAGGTTACCTGTTTAAGTGCAGGATGACATGTGGATATTGCTGTTACATTTAAGACTCAAAGCAGTGATTGTAATAGGAAAGCTAAAAATCACGCTGTTGTACAATTTAGAATAAGCTGATTACAGATAGGGTTGCAATGTAATTGGGATGGTGTTATGCTTGTGAGACTTTTGGGTAATAAAGACCAACGTTATTAAGGATCTGGAATAAGCAGGTGACTTATAGGAAGCTTAGGATGTTTGTCTGTGTGCAGTGAGCATTAGGCATTTAATTGTTTTCTTTTTCTGTTGTAGGTAGCCTGTACAGAAACCACAGCACAAGTTTCAGTCTGTCCAACTTAGCCCTACCAACCAAAGTTGGGAGAGACAAGAATACTCCCTTTCCCAGTCTGAAAGGTAACCATTTTTCCCTTTGTCTCCTACAGCCTTTACCGTTCTTGTGACTTGGCAGTATGAGGTCTTACTCCTAACAGGAATCCCCGGGGTGATGCATTTTTGGCAGCTTGGGTAGTACTTGTCTGAAGTATCGAGACAGTAAAATTGTCTTGATATTTCTCAGTCAGACTTCTTCCCAACAAGTGGGCTGTGTTGGGATGGGAGACTGGCTAGTCTGGCCTGTGTTAATGGATACGCTGTGAATGTTGGTTTTGTTTTGTGTTTTGTTTTGGTTTAAGTACTTAGTGTGAAGAATGAGAACCAAGAGGTAGGTCTTACTTTTGTACTGCCACTATCATAATGATGAGCCTTAGGCAACCTGTTAGAGCAATGATGCTGCATTTGTAAGTGGGGATAATGCCAACCTTCCATGGAAACTGCAGTTTATGTGCATTTCAAAAGTGTTTATAGTCTTTTTGGATCACAAAATAGAAAATTTCTGATGAAAATAAAATTATAATATACTTCAGCTCATGCAGAGTGAAGATCGATCTCTAGCTTAGGTGCACAACCTTTTCATTGGAACATCTCCTGTTTGTCTGCAGTATCATTAGGTCACGTGTCTGAATGTGCACTAGAGAAATGACCCTCTTGCCATGGGGAGTTAGACAGACTGGTTGTCCTTGTACCAGATGTAATAACAGCAGGGTGACTGAGCACGTGCTCGTGTCTTAGTGTTGAGACCTTTTCAGTTGCTAAACTGAGGAAAGATTTTGCCTTTTGAGTTACTCTCTCTGATTAGAACTTACTGCTTTTGTTGTAATATGTTGATTTTTTTTTCATTTATTTTTTCTTCCTCATCATTTTCATCGGTAAAGATTACTTTAATCTGGAAGTGGGAAGGGATGTGGATGAAGGTTGGTATGATGTTTCGCTGACCTTTGACCTTGTAGAAACAAAGGCCAAGAGCTGGTTTTTGTGTTTCTGCTTTGGACTTTGTTTTTGAGACAAGTAATCATTCCCTGTGTGTAAAATGAGGAGGAACAGGACTGGTATGGTGAAAACACTAGCAGAGACTCTGCACAGCTGTTTTTGACAACCTTTTACCAGTTAGTTGATGTTTTCATGTCCAATTGTACTGGAGAAGTGACATGCTTCATGTCAGGGTTATTTCCATGGGCGAACTTAATGACTGGTTCCATGCATTGGAAGAAAACAGTGATGGGGTTTGCCATTCCACATTCATGCTTTGCACCTCATCTTCTGCACTTTGGTGTTCTTTCCTCGACTACTGTAATCCTGTAGGGCCTTTAATGTTACTGTGCAGATATGAGAATGGGATTTCTGTGGAGTAGCTTAGTCTGTTTTATGCATGTGCAAGTGTGTGTGTGTGTGTATTCGTGTTCATTTACGTGTGCATGCTTGCTCACTGGGATTCCCACTGGGCACTTCACTGGTTTTTAAATGTTTCTGTCTCTGTTGTACAGATATAAAATTGCTGCATTAACTTGTTCTTATCAAGTGTGTGGTACCCTGTGTTTCTCACTGTAATGGGAAATGATGCTGGGACTCCATCTCATTGCTGCTGTTTGACCACTTTCCATCTTCCTTTTTAATTTTTATTTCATGCACATCCATTGATATTTTTTCCTCAGTGATGCAGATGTTTTTGATAGTGCCCTTGAAATAAATATGTGTGATAATGTCCTTGAAGATGCAATACATTGGTTCCACGATGCCAAATTTCAAGTCAAGCACTATCTCTAAGATAAATTACACTGGCCCTTGTTGTCTTGGGCTTTCAAACATCTTTCCTGCTCTAGCGTCATCTGGTTTTTGTTTTGAGGGAGGGCTGGGAAGAAGCTGGTAGTTGGATTCTTTTGATGCTGATGGTGGGGAGCGTAGATATTGTAGTACACTACTAATTGTATATTTTGTGTCCCAGTATTTGGGTTAAATACTATAATGGAGATTATTACTGAAGCTGGCCCAGTAAGCAATGAAGGTGGGTTCCCTACAGCATGAGCTGTGCATGATATAACAATTTCCAGCATTCCCTATGCCTGACTTTGGGCTACCTTTCTCACTGGGTAACCAGTACCACATGATCTATACTAGTCACCCCCAATGCATTATGCTTTTACATATAACGACTAATTTGAAGATGGTACTTGTTGTGGAAGTGCATGCAGAGCAGCCAAACTTTTCCTGCCTTTCACCTCCTGCTCCCATTACCATCTTCTCTTTTTCTCTCTGCATTACTCCCATTACTGTTTTCTGCCGATGTGTGATGCTAGAATATGATATACGCTGCTGCTTTTTTGGAGTTTCCATTTTGTTTGAAGTCTGTTACCTGTAATTTGAATAGGTGTGTTAGCCAACCGTAGTGTTGCTTGTTATTGTCCTGGGATCGGACTGTCTTACTCCCACTGCATCCTCTCATCCTGTTGCTTCTCCTGTTTAGGAAACAGACGAGCCCTTGTGGATCAAAAGTCTTCAGTCATTAAGCACAGCCCTACAGTGAAGAGAGAATCTCCATCGCCTCAGGGACGAACTAGTAATTCCAGGTAAGATTTTTTTCATTGCTTTTTGAGCACAAAGTGTTGTTAGAGTGGTCTCATACTTGGCTGATGCTTCCTTAGAAGTCTAGCTGTGAAAACTAAATAGTACTTTTCTATGGCCCCAAGCTTGCATGTGCTATTGTCTGAGAAGATTTGGTAGGGATGGTCTTATGGTTAATAGTGTACATACATGTTTTTTCTGTGCTCTGAAATGTATCCTCCTTCTGTCTGAGATCCAAAAAATTCTAAGTCCCTACTTTAAGTCAGTATTTATTATTTGTAATTGAGTTGTACTGAACAAGGGGGTCCTGCCAGCAGAGTTTTAATGCACCATGCAGGGGATCAGTTGAGTCACATGAAGCAGTTTGATCCCATGAATTCATGTGAAACGCTTTTCTCAGTCTTGGGAAGGGCCTCAGAATGCTGCAAGTAAACACTACCTGACCCATGCCTGTGCTTTCACCTCCCATTCTTACGTAGCAGTCATGGGTAGAGTGAAATTTACTTTGAGCTACTGAGGTTGGGAGAGAAGCAAGAACTATAAATGCAGTTCAGACTGGGGAATGCAGCAGGTTGCGCAGGAGTTTCCTTCTTCCTACCGTTCCCTCCCCTGTGGCAAAACAAGCTTAGGCAGAACACATGCCAAGGCCGCTGAAGTAATGCTGTTAGAAATGCTGCGCTTCCTCTTTCAAGGAAAGCCTACAGGTCAGACAAGGCAGCTGTGGGAGAAGGTTGTGGCATAGAGGATTTTGAGGAGTGCTGTGAAGGTGAGTAACAGAGTGGTAGCTAGAGGGACTAGAGGAAAATCTGATTACAGCTTATTCTAGGAAAAAATGGACAAAATGTTTGATACTACACCTGGAGAACAGAGCTTGGGCTGTGTGCAGTTATGTTAGCAGCAGGCATAGATAGATTTGAAGTTCTTTTCTTGTAAACTTAGCTTTGATAGGAGATGCGAAGTTCCCGATGACTGGAAAA